AAAATCAAATTCATTGCTTATTTTTCTGATTCCGTGTGATTACTTGTGAAAAAAATGGGACAACAACAGTCTAAAGACGAGCTTCTGTTTCAGAAAGTGAGTTACAATGATGTTGAAGCTATCAAATCCCTTCACCATGAAGGTGCAGGACTCGAGGTTTGTTCTTCTTCTTTCTTTTTATGGGTTTTGATTAATTAATCTGTTGAAATCATCATCATCTTAGGATTTACTTGTTCTGAATTCTTGTGGTTTTTGGATGCAGTGGGTGGATAAAGAAGGAAGAACACCATTAATCTTGGCTTGTACAAAAGCAGAGCTTTATGATGTAGCCAAAACTCTTCTTGAGTTAGGTTCTAATGTCAATGCTTATCGTTCTGGTAATTATTCTTTAAGAATGAATCTTTCTTGATTTAGTAGGTGTGAGAATTTTTGAGTTTATATGGAATTTTGTGGACATAATCAGGTTGCAATGCTGGGACTCCTCTGCACCATGCTGCAAAAAGAGGTCTCGAAAACACGGTTAAGTTACTTCTTCTGTCTCATGATGGTAAGTTTTTTCTATCTCTCTCTTCTTGCCTAATTTGATGACTGAGAATTTGGTTACTTCAATTCATAGTGGTTTTGTGTTTGGTTGCAGCAAATCCACTGGTTTTGAATGATGATTTTCAGACACCTCTTGATATTGCTAGAGCTAAAGGTTATAGCAATGTTGTACGCGCAATCGAGGTATGCTTTCTAACACTAATTTTTTAAAAATCTTTTTCTGCTACTGATTATTCATATACATGGAATAAATGGAATTGTCATGAGATTTTGTAGAATCACATCTGCTTGTTCTCTGGTTGGATGCGCGAATTTTATGGCCCGAGCTTTCTTGAATTATTCGCTCCTCAGCTTCTTTCAAGAAGAGTGTGAGTATCCACCATTTATCCGCTTTCTTTCGTATTTTGTTTGGTTTATATGCATCCAAAAAGTCCATGAATATGAATCTGATTTAGAACAACATATGTTTTTGCAGATGGGTAGTTATCGTACCGACTGGTTCACAAAACCATACAAAGCCTTTCAAGTTGGAGTTAGTTGTGTATGCTAGTCTTCAGGTACTAAAATTCATCATTTCTCTTGAAGATAACTGATCAAAAAGATACAAATTAGTTAACAAATTAAATTTGAGATTTCTATACTTATGAAATTTTCATGATATATATGCAATTAGGATGCACAACCAAGGATGGTGATGCCTTTGTGGAAAGCAAACTTAGAGGAACCGAAATCATATCAGACTGATGCTTCGGTGATGATTGTTGATAACTCCACAAGTAAGAAATCTTGACACTTTCTATGTTTATGGAATCTGTTACTTCCTTGTTGACTGACATTTATTATCATGGATAGGTACTAGGCGAAGTAAGGCGAGAAGAAGGACATTCATCTCTCACACGAGGCGTTGGGCTCAAGTCGATAGGCGTAAGTGTATACAGTCTTGTACTTTCTAATTCTTATGTAGCCATGGAAATTGTTACATAATTCATAGTTAAAGACTATATAAGTAGAAATTGTTATTGCATTTTTCAGAAGCACGTCTTAAGCTGGCAGCTGCGAACAAAGGCGACATGAAACAGTTGAATTGGTTTTGTGAGGCATGCAAAGGAATTACTCAGGTATATACCATTAGATACAACTTTGGAGTTAAGATACAAATTTGGTATATTTTGTGTCTCTTTGACTCATTTAAACATTTTGATGCTAATTTGAAATTTTTTATGCAGCCAATGAATCCTCCAATGTTTCTGCAAACATCTCAAATAACAACAACCTCTGTTCCACTATCGTCACACGATGCAATGAATGAGATGGCAATGCACAGTCCCATACCTGTGAACATTTCTCTTGCTTCTGCAAACTGTGAGAATAAAGAAGATGGTGGATCGAGAGCATGTGCGGTTTGTGTGGATGCATCATCGGAAGCAGTGTGTGTGCCGTGTGGACATGTCGCGGGATGCATTTCTTGCTTGAATGAGATCAAAGACAAGAAATTGGGATGTCCTGTATGTCGTGCCAACATTGATCAGGTCATTAAGCTATACCATGTTTGAGACAAAAAGAGATCACATATATCTACTCCATGGCTAGAAGATATAAGAATACTGAAACTATCTCTATTTTTTTGTATGATGTTATTTTGTAAAATAACAAGAATCACTATAAGGATTTTGTAATGAATTTAAAGAAAGTAGTTTATGTTTGTCTCATTCCATTCTCTGTTACAAGTTTTATCAGAGTTGATTGAGAGGGATTGGAACCATTTTTACTTGGTATACAATCTCTCTCCCATTTTACTATTGTACGCTTTTGTGTTTTTTCCTAAGTCCTACGGGGTGAACTTTGGGTATCCATTCATATTTGGATTTGGGTTTGGTTTTTTGGATTTTTGGTACCATCATGACTTATGTGTTTTTAATT